AAGTCAATAGTCACCTACTATGTGTTATGATCCGGTAACCCCAAAGTGACAATAATCGGGACCACTCCCGGTGATGACCGTAGTTTGAGGAGTTCATGTATTCACTAAGTGTTAATGCTTTGGTCCGGTACTCTGTTAAAAGGAGGCCTTAATATCCCTTAGTTTCCAATAGGACCCCTTTGCCACGGGAGGGTAGGACAAAAGATGTCATGCAAGTTCTTTTCCATAAGCACGTATGACTATATTCGGAATACATGCCTACATTACATTGATGAACTGGAGTTAGTTCTGTGCCATCCTATGTTATAACTGTTGCATGAGGAATCGCATCCGACATAATTATCCATCACTGATCCAATGCCTACGGGCTTTTCACATATTGATCTTTGCTTAGTTACTTTACCATTGCCATTGTTACAATTACTACAAAACTGCTACTGTTACTTTTGCCACTATTACCGTTACTTCCATACTACTTTGCTACTAAATAATTTGCTGCAGGTATTAAGTTTTCCAGGTGTGGTTGAATTGACAACTCAACTGCTAATACTTGAGAATATTCTTTGGCTCCCCTTGTGTCGAATCAATAAATTTGGGTTGAATACTCTACCCTCGAAAACTGTTGCAATCCCCTATACTTGTGGGTTATCAAACACCGGTTTGTTTACATGACAGGTACATGAGTTCTCTTTACATAACAATACAATAATTGCAAACAGAGTTGCATAAGTGGTACATTGTGGGTAAGTGGTTACACAATGAAAATTGGGGTATAAAAATGAGTGTGGGCCAGTTTTCCGGTCATAGTAGCTCCCCAAGTGAGATGAGAGGGGAAGTTGTTTTGTTTGATCGCTCAGAAACTGGGTAAACTGTTGAACTTACATGTGCGGCGGGGGTAAATGGCCAATCTTCTTGTTCCACGGCCTCGGTCTCGGCGCAGCATAAGCATCGGTTGTTTCGGCCGCTGGTGTCTCTGGCTGGGAAGTCTTCGGCGCAGCATAACTATCGGTTGTGCTGGCCGCCTCCGTCTCCGGCTTGGCAGTCTTTGGCGCATCATAGTTGTCGGTTGTGCTAGCTACCGGTGTCTCTGGCTGAGCATTCTTCAACACGGTGTAGCTATCAGATGTTGCAGCCGCCGACGTCTCCGGTTGGGCCTTCTTTGGTTTGGCATATCTATCGGTGGTGTCGGCTGCTGGTACCTTTGGCTCCTCCTTCTTTGGTTCCACCTTTGGTGCGGTGTAGGTATCGGGCGTGGCAGCTTCTGGCTTCTTCGTCTCTTCCTTCGGTGCGACGTAAGCATCAGTTGTGGCCGGCGCTGACGACTTGGGCTTGTCATTCTTCTTAGGCTCTTCCTTCTTTAGCATCTCTGGTTTCTTCTTGGCCCCAGCCTTCTTGGGCGAATCTACTTTTGCTTTTCGTTTCTTCTCCGCACCTGTGTATCCAGAGGCGTCCTTCTTGCCTTTGGACTTCTTCTCGGTACCATGGTCGTTTTTCCCTTTGGGTTTCTTCTCAGTTGTGGAAGGCTGGGAGGGCTCGCTCTTTTTTTTGGATTTCTTCTCGGAGGCAACCTCAGATTTCTTCTTCCCGGCGGCCTTGGTGGCACCTTCAGGGTTCTTCTCCATGCCGGCATAGCCAGAGGAGTTTACCGGATTCTTCTCTACAACAACATTGTCGGGGGCGACATCAGGTTTCTTCTTAGCACCGGCGTAGTCGGCGACGACTTCGGGTTTCTTCTCCATGCTAGCGGAGACGTCGGAGACGGCTTCAGGTTTCTTCTCAGGGATAGCAGAGGCGTCAGTGGCGACCTCGGGTTTCTTCTCAGCGCTGGCAGAGACGTCAGAGGCAGCTTCGGATTTCTTCTCAACGTTGGTAGATACGTAGGAGTCGGCCTCGGGTTTCTTCTCAGGGGCGGCTTCGGTTTTCTTCTCGATGTTGGCGGAGACGTCAGAGTTGGCTTCAGGTTTCTTCTCAGCACTGGCGGAGACGTAGGAGTCGGCCTCGGG